AGTACATGCGACACAATGCTCCCAGTACAGAACAATTTCCTTAATAAGCCACACACTTAAGATATTTCTTAAAATAAAACATAGAAGACTATACAAAAAAATAAAAGAAGATATAGGTGACACCCAGTTTGGATTCAAAGAAGAACTAGGAAAGAGAGAGGCTCTGTTCGCTTTTAACGATTTCACACAAAGACGACTAGATATGAATCAGGATTTATATGTCTGCTTTAGAGATTATCAAAAGGCCCTTGATAGAGTACATCACAAACTCATAAATCTGTTAAAAGAAAAGAATGTGGATAGTCGAGATATAGAGGTTATTGTCAATCTGTTATAAAGAAAAGACTAAGAACACAAATATCAGAACAAATAATAAGCTATTTTGGACATGTGCTTCGAAGAAATGGTCTTGAAAAACTTACCATTCAGAAAAAAGTAGAAGGCAAAAGAAATATAGTAGATCTCCTACACGATACACGGACCATATTGTTGCTACCATTGGCGCTCCATTGTCAGAATGTGCTAGAATGGTAGAAGATAGAAAAACGTTAAGGAATATTGGAAAAATTAGCTAATAGTTTCATGATATTACGATACCTGCATCAGGTTAACAACTAAGAAGAAGGCAATCTGTACTGGAATCAAAAATCAAATGTTACAATCGAAAATGTCGATACAGAAACTATAGAAATCAGAAGAGGTGTTAGATAGGTTTGCGTGCTGTCCCCATTGTTACTCAATCTATACAGTGAAGCTATTTTTAAGGAAGGAATATCAGAGGAACAACAGGGTATATCAATAAACGGAGAAAATCTTAAACAACATAAGATTCGCAGACAACACCGCTGTTTTTGCAGACAGTTTAGAAGCACTGCAACGCTTAGTAAATAGATTACATCAAGTCAGTATCAAATATGAACTACAAATGAATGTTAAGAAAACCAAATGCATGATTATTTCCAAGCAACATACAGTAGGAAGGCTAGATATCAAGGGAAAACAAGTAGAAAGAGTAAATAACTACAAATATCTGGGAACCTGGGTAAATGAAAACAATGACCAAGTTAGAGAAATAAGGACACACATTGAACAAGACAATCGTTCATAAAAATGAAAACAATGTTGGTTAATCGAGACCTTCCTCTGGAGCTGAGGATAAGAGCCTTAAGATGTTACGTGTTCTTGACTTTGTTGTACGGAGTGGAAAACTGGACACTAAAAGTAGATAATATAAAGAAGTTCGAATCATTTGATAAGTGGTGCTATAGAAGGATTTTGAAAATACCATCAATGAGTTACAAATTCAGAAGTGTTAAGAAGACTACAAAAGAATTGCGAAAAAAACACATCAAAATAAGAAAGCTAGAATATTTAGGCCACATTACCGGCGGTGCGAAATATGAGATATTAAGGGTTATAGTGCAAGTTAAAATCAAAGGTAAAAGATGCATAAGAAGACGAAGAATTTCCTGGCTAAGAAATATAAGAGAGTGATATAAGGTTAGCAGAGCGGATAGCTGTGATGATAGCCAACCTCCGATAGCAGAAGGAACTACAAGAAGTAGAAGATAATAGGAAGAAGAAAATGAAGTTGCAAAAGACAACGGGCTGAAAATAATAAATGAATATTTATAAAACCGAGGGTCAGAAACTGCAAACAAGTGTCTTTATTTTCTTTTAATACTGTATTAGATTTAAATATTAAAATTGGCTGAATGACGTACAACTTTGTCACAAAAAATTGTATATCGTACTATAATTATTATCTACTTATTTTTTATTCGGTAAAATTAAATTCAAACACTCTACTTATAATTGAAACATAATTTGTTTAAAACACTTAAATAATTATTTATCAGTGAAATAATTTTCATTAAAAAAACCTGTGAAACGATAATTTGTGTTTTATCAAACGAATCTTTTATTTTAATGAATAGACGTGATTTTTGGGACTCACAGTTTATTCGGTAAATGTGTATATACATTATGTAAGTGTTGTATTATTTTTAATTACGTTTTAAAAAATATTTGTACAATAGTAGTGGTAAAGATGTTGGTGTAAACTGTACCGTAAGTTATTATCTATAACAGTGATAATATTACATGAGTCAATAAAGTTCTGAATTGGTGTGATCCATCAATGCTTTATTATATTTAACGACAGGTTCTAAATCTTTTATCCTTTATTAGATTAGGTGGATCCCATTATTTGCCAAGACCTTTGTATTTTTATCTTAAATTGTTACAGAAAACATTTTGAGTTTTCTGTAAGTGTATGTTAACACATATAAACAAATATATGAATTTTCATAACTAGATTATTTTAAATGTGACACTATTATGTCAAATTATTCGTTCAATGTATTAAAGTTTTAGTGCATTTTCACTTTCAGTGCATTTGTGCCTGTACCTTTTCGTAATTTTTTGCTGAATCATTTAAATTGTCTTTCATTATATTATTATATCTAATTGAGTTCCTCAGCCTGAGATAAAGTCTTTTTTGTGCTTTTTTCTTTCAGTTAATCCAAACTTAAAGTGCCATTCCGAACTTAACGCTCTATTCCAATCTTTCATAGCGTCTATGTCACTATATTTACCTTAAATATTACGATCATTTCACTCCTTTTCTAAACTCTTCACCAATTTAATCGGTTGCTATTAACAAAGTAAGTATGCAGATATTTTCTTCTTCTTCTTTACGTACCATCTCCGCGACGGAAGTTGGCAATCATCATGGCTATTCCTCTACCTCTCTTGCTCTGGATTTGCCCTTGTATAATTAATTGAGGTATGTTGTATCTTTTTTTATTATTTAAACATACAAAACCCACATCAACCACCAAGGGTTATTAGTGGGGGGACATACACAGTAGTACAGTTTGTTAAATTAAAGTTTATTATAAATGTTTATGTCTTTTAGAAACTGCAATAAATCCGAGATATTTGTCGTAAGCGCACTTCTCAGGTTTCCACTAATTCCTCGGCATGTTCTCTGAGGTTGGAACTGTGGACAGTCGACTATCAGATGCTTCACCGTGAGTTAAGTAGAGCAGTAGGTACAAATTGGGGCTGGTTCTTTATTTAGAAGGTGTTGGTGTGTTAGTATTGTGTGGCCAATTCGAAGACGATTTACGATTACTTGATCTCTTCTTATTCCTTGTTGTGGTAGGCTGGTGTCTACTCGAGGCTTTATTGTTTTCAACTTAGAGTCTGTTGCATCCCAAGTTGCTTGCCATAAATTTATTATATGATTCATGGACTGTCGTTTATGGTCGGTGTGGGGATATTTAGTAATTTCTGGAACATTTTCATTTTTGATGGATTTTAATGCTAATTGATCAACTTCCTCGTTGCCTTTAATGCCAATGTGTGAAGGTATCCAGATAAATGTAACCTTTTTATTTATATGGTGTAGTGCATTAAGTTTCTTTTCATTTCTTATATTTTGTGCAATAGGATGGCTAGGGTAATGTTGATTAATTCCATGAATTGCGCTGAGTGAATCTGTGATGATTAAAATATTATTTTCAGTCGTTGAAGAGGATTTTTTGATAGCTTCTAATATCGCTGTGGTTTCTCCGGTGTAAATGCTGCAATGCTGTGGAATTCTAATGGCATATTTGTAATTTTTATTTGTGAAGGCTGCAGCATGGCCACTTTCAGTTTTTTATGCATCTGTGTATATTATGTGGTGATTTGGATACTTCTCCATAATTTCTTTGAATGCGTTAATGATAAGGTTAGGATTTGTGGTATTTTTTGGGTACTGTGTTAAAGTTAAATCGGTGATAGGTAAGGGGGTAAGCCATGGAGGAAAGTCTAATTTTGTAGTTATGGATAATTTGAATTCATTGAAATTGAATCCTTTTTGATTGATTCTTTTCCTAAAGGGTTTGTCTTTATATTGTTTGTTTCTATACAAATTGGATGTAGGTGCGTTAATAATCTCAGAATATAATGGGTGCTTTTTATTGGAAGATATTCTTGCTGCATAATTTAAACTAACTAGATGTCGTCTTAAATGTAGAGGGGGTTCTCTTGATATTACTTGTATCTTTCATTGCGCATAATATGCCCCAAGTATTGCAGTTTTCGAGTCTTGATGGTTTTCAATATTTCCATTCTTTTGTTGACTCTTCTCATGACTTCGTTTTTTGTTACATGCTTGGTCCATGATATCTTCAGGATTCTTCTATAGACCCACAGCTCAAATGCTTCCAACTTTTTGTGTGATTAATTATTGTGCCAAGATAATTGTAGTTTTCAACTTGTTCTAAAGTTTTACCGTTAATTGTCAGGTTTTCATCATTATTTTAGATTTTTGATATTCTCATAAATTTAATTTTCTTGATGTTTATTGATAATCCATATTCTTTTCCATACTCAACTGTCTTGTTCATTAGCTTTTGGAGGTCTTGGAGATTGTCTGTTATTATGTTAGTATCTTCCGCATATCTAATGTTGTTAATTGGTGTTACATTGACCTTTATTCCTGCTGTTTCTCCCTCAAGAGTCCTTTTTATAATTTCTTCAGAGTATGCATTGAATAGTAGTGGTATTAATATACTCCCCTGTCGCACTCATCTGTTAATTTGAAACTCTTTTGATTTATACTCTTATAGATTTGTTATAATTCGAAGATCATTGTATTGTAATCGTTTTGCTTTGAGGACGTCCATTAGGTCTTTGTGGAGGACTTTATCGAATGTCTTATCCTGTATGCGCTGTATTCCTTTTCAACACGAAGATGTTTGATTAATTTATTTGTGCTCATTTTTGTAAATAACTTAGAAACTGGAAATAGTAGGCTTATTAAGAGAAAGGAAACGAGATATAGCGTCAGGGGAGGACGGAATTATTAAAGAAATGATCAAGGAAGAAGAAATAATTTCGAAATTAATCAAATTTGTGCAATACATTAAATAAATAAAATGTAATATTTTGTCACAAACTTTTCAATAAAATTTTTTGTTTGACATAGTTTTCATCTCTTTTTCCAGGATCGCACAATCGGGCACCCAGTTCGAGCAGCGGAGCTGAAGTCGACAGCGATGACAACGAGAGCAGCGTGAGCTGCGATTCCTTAAATTGCGGAAAAATCTCACCCATCAACATACCTCCTTCAACCAAATCGACATTGCTTCCACCTTCTCTTCTTGAGGACATCCGACAAAGGCTTCCAAAGACGCCGACAGTCGAAGAAAACCCTTACGAGAATATCGATAGTAAAAACGACGAACTGGACAGTATTATCAGCACAGATATGTTTTACAAGTTCCATATTAACGAAAATGTGAATAGTTTAGTGCCTAAAATTGACAATGTGATAGAGAACGAAACTTTCGCTGGATATAAAGATATTTTGGATGACGGCTGTACGACGATTAAGAGTGCCAAAGGGACAGTGCGTGGGGTTAAGAATCGGGTTAGGGCTGGTATCGCTACGTTTTTACAAATTAATTCTACTGGAAAAGTAAGTAATATTATAGATCTTCTTCTTTTTACTTATACCATGATTTAAAGGATTTGTTAAAATTTGTAATTTGAGAACGGAAAAACCGTATTTTGAAGAGGTTTATTTAGTTAGTACAGTTAAACCTAAAGCTGAGATTAATTATAAAAGTTAATATCAGACTCACCATGCCTCCGGGTTAAACTGAGTCGATTTTCAGTACACCGACATTTCGACATCCTCCCTGAAATTTTCTTCAGGTTTCATCATTCTCCCGAGACCACAGTTCTCTTATCTATACTGTCCAAAACTCACAGAACTACTACAGTAGTAAAGAGTGTAGTGAAGAAATCTGGAGGCTCAGAACACTGAGAAAAAATCGACGCGGTCTAATTGGAAAGCCTACTGAGATTGATTTTAACTTTTGATAGAATGTTAATCTTAATTTTATGACATATATTAATTTCGGTTTTTAGAAACACCATTTTCTTGACTCATTTGCTAACTTTGAAGACTAGTTCTTCTCTCTCTCGATGCTCGAAGAGAACTGGTTAAGAACAGTTTATGTATGACATACGATTGAGAACAAGTATGATAAGCCACATCTTTTCTAAAGATGTCACAGGACTAACACTATATTGTCGAATAAATTGGTAATCTAGCACTGGGATTGACGATAAGATTAATGCCAATAGATAAACCAGATTTAGTCTTGATATATCTTAACTTCACTATTCACTAAATGATCACTAAAGACATTTTTAAAAGCGATATACCAATATCTTTAAAACTAATAACATTTTTGACCAATATGTGTTGCTTGTGATGACCTATGGTGCCGAAACTTTAACATTGACAGCAACAATTTCTAAATCGCTACAAATAGCTCAGAGGAAAATGTTATTAATGACTTTATTTAACTGGCAGAGAAAAGAAGTATCGAATAATACTAAAACGGATACTGTTATTCGATTTTAGTCCTAAAGATACCTGAAATATGTTATATATTTATTTATTAATGAATATAAAATCCTAAAAAATCTTACTTTGATAGAGTCTTTTGTTGTATTGTAACAATTTTTCTTTAGCGCTGTTCTTTTCTGGTGTACAATTTCTTGAACAATTGAATAGGTTACTTTCTTGATCACTCTTTAGACAATGAAAGACATCGATTATTGAGAAAAAATGAAATACACACACAGACACGACCCAGTGATGTTAAAATATACAAACAAGACATTGAGACCAAAATAAAATCAAATACAAGGACTCCTTCTACTCAAGATATAAATGTCATAAATGAATGCATTACACAACCTATCCGAGAAAGCCAAAAAAACATTGTCCAAAAATAAAGAAGCAGTGAAACTAAAACGTTCAAAGTAATGAAAAAGAAAAAATATAAAAGAGAATATTAACAAAAGTTCCTGTTTTCACATATGGATCAGAGGCATGGACGCTAACTAAAACAGATGAATCCACTTCATCGATTTTTGAAAGAAAGGTGCTACGCAAGATATTCGGAGCGGTCTGTGAGAACGGAATATAGAGGCGTAGATATAACTTGTTATTTAATTTATATTTAGATAGAATATTTAAAGAAGCGCTGCATAATTTGGAATGGGGCGTGAAAGTTAATGGAATTCTGATAAATACAATCAGATATGCAGACGATACAGTTATTTTAAGTGATGACATGAATGGATTACAATGCCTTTTAAATGCCATTGATACAGTGGGAAGAAAGTTTGGCCTAAACATAAACTGTTCAAAAACAAAACACATGGTGTTTAGCCGTTTAGCACATCAAGATGCACGATTATATGTTGATGGTCACATAATTCAAAGAGTGTCCAGTTTTAAATATCTTGGTTGCCATATTACTGAACAACTAGATCCAGATCAAGAGATAAAATGTAGAATCGAGATAGCCCGCACGACATTTTTAAAAATGAGGTCATTCTTCTGTAACGATAACTTGCAACTTCAACGCGAAAGCGCATGGTTAAATGCTACATTTGGTCAGTCCTCTTATACGATGTCGAAGCATGGACATTAAAAACATCCACCAATAATCGTCTGGAGGCCTTTGAAATGTGGCTGCACAGACGTATACTAAAAATTCCATGTACGGCTATGCTGAAAAATGTGGCAATCCTTGAGAGAGCAAATGCTGCGCGCGAGCTGCTTGATAACATCAAATGTAGAAAGATGGCCTATTTTGGACACGTAGTAAGGGGAGACCAATATAATATTCTTCAACTTATTATGATGGGTAAAATCGAAGGACGCAGAAGAATTGGTAGAAAGCAGGCCTCTTGGTTGAAGAATATCAGGGAGTGGACAGGAATAAAGAAAGCTGAGCATGTATTTAGAATAGCTCGAGACAGAGACAGTTTCGCCATGTTAATCGCCATCGTCAAGGGGACTTGATAGGGCACGTTAAGAAGAAGATATAACTGCAGAATATCTACAAGATATTACCACTATAATTAAGCGAAACCGTCTGCAGTGAGCAGGACATGTAGCCCGGGCCCCTGAATCGAACATGATAAAAAAGATTCTAACAGCGAAACCCGTGGGGATGAGAAGACAAAGCTGATGTGGATGGACAACAAGCAGCAAGAAATGCAAGCAAGGTACAGAACAGAATAGCGTAGAAAGCTTAAGAAGGTCGAGACCCTCTAAGGGCTGTCGCACCAAGATGATGATTAGCAAAAGTAAAGAAGAGACAAAGAAGATGAATCAAAAAGTATACAAAGCAATCAAAAAAGATTTGAGCAAATACAATAACAAAAAAATCCAACAAACGATACAGGCAAATAAAAGCATGAAGATACTTGAGAGAAAATTAATCTCTAAAAAGAGTCAAATATCTAATCAAATTAAAAATAAACAGGGTAAAATAATAACCAACTAAGGGCTAAGGTGTTAAAAACTTTGGAAAATTTCTATCAACAACTATATAATAGTAGTAGACGGGACACCTTAATAGAGATAAAAAAGGAAACTGAAAAAACCATAATAAATCAGTTCTGAAATCAGACAGTAATGGATAAAAAAAGAGGTTAGTCTTCGTAAATGGGTATATTTATTTAAAAACCCTTAAAAGGGCTACATCAAAAAAACAAACGTTTTCGGACTAAACAGTCTATCATCAGGTTTAAAATTGCTAGTTTAAAATGCCTGAGCCACCAAAATACCAGGGTAAAAACCCTTTGAATTACATGTAGTTATTAAAGATTGTACATATTGTTGTTATAAAACTGTGATGTTAAATATTAAATTGGATTTGACTTCAGGTAACAAGCTCGAAGTGAGTTCCAGGATAAGATGAAAGACAATAAATCACCTGGAAATGATAGACTAGTTATTGAATCTCTCAAGAACAGTGGTGGGAATTTGATCCCCAAAATACAACAACGTTTTAATTTATGCTTACTAGAAAAGTCAATACCGTTGAAATGGAATAAGGCTTTATAGATTTTACTACATAAAAAAGAAGATAAAACTAACTGAGATAAAAGGAGATTTAGCTAAGTTTAGAGACAATTTAACCTAATGGAGACCACCTCATCACATAGCCAAATTTGTCCACTGTCGAACATAGGCCTCCTCAAGATGTCTCCACTCTTCTCTGTCCTGTGCAGCTGCGATCCAGTTTGTCACTATTCTTTTAATGTCGTCCGTCCATCTGGTAGGTGGTCTTCCACGATTTCGCTTGTCTGCCCTTGGCCGCCATTCTAAAATCTTCTTTGTCCATCTGTTGTCTCTCTGTCTTGCGACGTGTCCTGACCATTTCCACTTCAACTTCGTAATCCGTTTTATGACGTCTTTCACTCCAGTTCTTCGCCGTATCTCATCATTTCGTATTCGGTCTCTCAAAGTTACGCCAAGCATAGATCTTTCCCTTTTTCGTTGTGCTACTTGTAACTTTTTTATTGATGCTTTAGTCAATGTCAGTGTTTCAGCTCCATAAGTGAGCACTGGAAGTACGCACTGGTTAAATGCTTTTCTCTTTAGCTTTATTGGGATGTTTTCCTTAAACACGTCTTTTAGCTTACCATAGGCTGCCCATCCTAAAGCTATTCTTCTAGATAATTCGCATGTTTGGTTGTCTCTACTTATTTGTATTTCGTGGCGCAGATATATGTATTTGTCAACCGTTTCAATATGCCAGTTTTCTAGTTTCAATGGTCCACTAGGTACTAAGTTGGTCATCATTTTAGTTTTCGCAAAGTTTATTTCCAGCCCTACTTTTTGGGAGACTCGTTGTAAATCTTGTAGCATTTCGTTGGCCTCCTTTAGGTCGTCGGTTATTAGAACTATGTCATCTGCAAATCGTAGGTGGTTCAGCCTTTCGCCATCGACACTCAAACCTCTGTTTTCCCATTCTAACATCTGGAATGCATGCTGCATTACGGCATTGAATAGTTTTGGTGACATGTTGTCTCCTTGTCTAACTCCCCTTTTTAGTTTTATTTTTTGAGTAGGGGTGTGGAGGTTTATTGCTGTTGTGGCATTTGCATATATATGTTGAATAATGCTGGTATATCGATAGTCGATTCTACAATCTCTCAAAGCTCTTAAGATAGCTACCATCTCGATAGTGTCAAAGGTTTTTTTATAGTCAACAAATACTAGAGTTAGAGTTAGTTTGCCATTCTTTCCCTTAAGCCTGATGATTTATTTTCTGCTGTTCGTCAATTTCCTTCTTAAGACCACCTAAGAAACAAATAAAGACCATCTACACGATGGCAGGATGGTCTGCGAAAGATGACGACAAATTTGGATCAATACTACACAAGACGCAGATGCACTCTGAATACAAACACGGAAGGCCTACGTCCTGCAGTAGACTTAAAACGGGCTGATGATGTTGATGATGACTCTCTTCGTTGTTGTTTCATATTAAATAATACTCAATAATTACTTTTAAAAATTTACTATATAAACAAACCTTTTTAATGTTTCTGTTTCAGAACTATAAGGAAAAAGAGTTAGGCAAAGTGGTGGTATACACAACTACTATGGGTATTCTCAGGGAAACCTACCAAGCCTGTATGAAAGTCAAACAAATCTTGAGGCTGCTGTTGGTTAAATTTGAAGAGAGGGACGTATTTATGAGCTCCGAATATCAGGCAGAGATCCAGGAGAGGATGAGGTGTGATCAGATCTTGGTCCCACAGGTGTTCGTCGATGGCGTTCATATGGGGGTAAGTGTATATTTGCACAAAAATATCGCTATATTTGCTAGGGATTTTAATATTACAAATAATTCATCAATTGTTGAAAATCAATTGTGTTTAAATCCTTAGGTTTTTAAAATATTTTTCTGTCTTTTTAGGATGCTGAAACGATTGAAAGGCTAAATGAAACTGGGGAGCTACGACGAATACTTAAACCATTTAAAGTAAGTTATTCAAATATTCAAAAGTATTTACTGTTTTTTTTTTCACGTTTTTTTATTTTATTTATTGTTGGGCAACTTCAATCGACATATTTCTACCAATTCCACAGTTTATTGATATGCCTGAAGCTTTTGAAATACTCTAGTCTCCCTTGAATACTTGTTGAGTCATCTGAAGTTGTCTATACTTGCATTAAATGCTTTGTATGCTTTTGAAGTCGTTCAAGGCATCATCGAAGTATTTTAGGCTAGCTTTAAGACTTTAAGATGTGATAAAATGTTTAAATTTATGCAAAATTTATAATTCTTCTTAACGTGCCCCATGCCTAAGGACATTGGTAATCATTTCATTTTGCCTTCCACCTTTCCTTGTATGACCAGTTGCATTCGTATTTCTCGTTTCTTAGTATGTGACCAAAATAGCTCATTTTTCTTTTCTTTATAGTGTTGATTATTTCTTTATCTTTTTTCATTTTTCGTAGCGTTTCCGCATTTTTTATGTGTTTGTGTCCAAGATATTTTCCACATTCTTCGATAACACCACATTCCAAAGTTAATGAGTCTTTTCACTGACTCCTCTATAATTGTACAGGCCTCAATTCCATACAACAGAACAGAGAACACGTAGCATCTCAATACTCTAGTGTTAATTTCAATTTTGAGTTTTCCATTGCATAATATTGCATTCATCTTAATAAAAGCACTTCTAGCTATCTCAATACACCGTTTTATTTCCGTACTTCTATCTCATTCTTCATTTAGTTCGCAACCTAAGTACTGATATCTGCGCACCCTGCCTAAAAGTTTTCTTTTAGCATAAACACTGTCTTCCTCAATCTTGTTCTTGCTTACCATCATGATTTTTGTTTTTTTTGTATTCAGTGCCATTCCATACCTTTCTCAGTATTGAGTAATGCGATCAACCAAGATCGGTAGTCCTTCTCTTCTGTTCGCAAGCAGTATAGTGTCATCTGCGTATCTGAGATTATTCAGAAGTGCTCCGTTAACAAACATGCCTTCATTTACGTCTTCTAATACCTCTTTAAACAATTCTTCTGAATACATTTTAAAAAGTAAAGGAGAAAGCACACATCCTTGTCTTACTCCACGATTTATAGGTATTTCTTTCGATTTTTGTTGGTCTATTCGTATTATGACTTTCTGATATCGATATAGATTGGCAATGATTCTCACGTCTTCGTCATCTAATTCTGTCTTCTACATCTCTGCATCTCTGGTGCCAAAGTATTTTCTGAATCTTAATTGGTTTTCAGCTATTCTATCATCTAGCTTTTTATAGATACGTTCGTGTATCACTCGTAAGAACATTTTTAGAATATGGTTCATCAAGCTAATTGTCCTATGCTCTTCACACTTAATTGCGTTTGATTTTTTGTGTATTGGAATGAATATTGATATTAACTATTCTTTCGGAATCTCTCCTGTATAATAAATGTCAAAAAAAACTCTATTAGTGTGCCTGTTATGATTTTTGTTAATATTCTTAAGATTTTTGTAGCTATTTTATCTGATCCCATATCCTCATTTTTCATACGTTTTAGCGCTTTCTCAATTTCGTCTTTGGTGATTGGTGGCCAATTTCTTCCTTGGTTCAATGACCTCAATTTTCTCGTCGTCTTGGAATAGCTCTTTTATGTATTTTTCCCATCTGTTTATTTTATCTGTGCATTCTATTATTATATTGTTATTTTTATCCATGATATTTCCGATACCCTTCTTCTTGTATATGCTAGCTGTCTCTTTGATTTTCCGGTGTATGTTAAAACTGTCATGTAGTTTATCTAACCTTTCTATTTCTTCACACTTTTTCTGATAGCCACAGTTTCTTAGCTTTTTTGATGTTCTGTTTGATTATTTTATTAATGTTTTTGTACTGTTGTTCGTTTTTATTCTTGTGTGCCTTTCGTTCCGTCATCAGTTCTTTTATGTCTTGTGTGATCCATTGTTTATTTTTAGATGATGTGTCGTCTTGAAATTTTTATTTTGAAATATTTTTCAAGATCTCCTCTACTTTCTTTCATTTATCTGTTGCTGTCAATTGCTTTTGCCTTTCTACTTCCTGAACTTCTTTGTGCACTCGTTCTTTGATGTGTTGGTATATATCGGTTTCTTTTAGTTTTCTCAGATTGATTCTCGGTGTTTTTGCAGTTGTTTTATAACTTTTTTAACTTGAGTTTCATGCTAGAACTAGATTGTAGTCACTTGTTAGGTATATCTGCTACTGGGTGCGCTTTAGCCGATATTATTGCATTTCGGAAATTTCGGAATTTCAAAATTTATTACAAGTTTCTAATAAATTATCCCAGTCATTCGTGAGATTCAACAGAGCTACCTAAAATAATCTAAGCCATTTAAATTCTTTCAAAAGCTTTTAAAATATTTCACTCTCTTTTGAAATCATCTAGACCTTTCTCTAATATTTCAATCTCTAATTAAATCTTTCAGATATATTTAGTAATCTTCTTAGTTATTTTAGGACATTCTTTAAACCTCTGTGACTACTCTGCAATCAACTTCATGATTCCTCAATAATACAGTTTATCAAGAAAGTCTTCTAGAGTCTCCTGAAAGATTCAATGCTAACTTAAAGTACTTTGGGGGCTCCAAAACTATTTAACATTAGAACTAATACATCTTAGGCTAGCCTGAAATCTTTCAAAAACCCAATAAATAATCCAAGAAAATAATGAAATATTTCTGGATCTACTTTCTTAGGTTTCTCAGCCAGGAAATTCTTCGTCTATTTTTCGGAAATTTTGTTATGAGCCTGAATATCTCAAATTTCGAACCTCTGGTAATCTGACCTAAATATTTTAGCTTTCTTGTTTTGATGTGCTTTATGACCTCGCAATTCTTTTGTGGCTTTTTTAACACTTCTAAAATATTTCAATTAGATATAAAATCCCCAAGAGCACTCTAGGACGTTTGAGATCATCCTATAATGTTCTTCTTGTTCTTCTTCTTAGTCGTTAACCTGATGCAGGTATCGTGATATCATGAAGCTGTTAATGTTCTAGCGACCCCTAAAATATTCTATAATACAGTGAATATCTCCCCGAAATATTTTTTGGTGTCTGGTGTCTAAATCATTTACAGGAAAATGAAATATTCCATTGTAGTACTAAAACATTTAAAGCTATTGGACTGCTTTTATATATTTATTATAATGATATATTTATTACTTGACACATAGTCACGACAACGGCACCTCCGCTTGTTAGATTTGCCGACACTTTATCAGCAGGAATAGATAAGTCAAGGCGTGATGGCACGTTGGACTCTCACAGGCATTTTGTAGTGATGGGACTATCGATTACTTTATACTATCGACTAGCGACTAGTCGACTACTTTTAAATATCGATTACAAAGCACGTGGTGGTCGTGTGTATTAAGGTTACCATGTGCTCTGTATTAAACAGGTATACTAGCCACTCCTGGATATCTCCACTTCATGGTTTGTTCCAGTTTCACACATTTAAATATCGATTAGTCTAGTAGACTAGTCAGGGGTAGGCGTGGTCAGCTGTAAGCTGTCACTGTCACTGTCAGTCTCAGTTTGTGTCGCTAACACTAGCCTACCTTAACCGACCATAGCCGACTCTTGGTTTCCGGAATGCTTTCTTTTGATTTATGAATGAATTTCTTGATTTACCTTCTATTCTAAAACTAGTCGTTTGTCGTCTAACCGTTTACAATCGACTAGTTAAAACAATCGACTAGTCGATAGTCTGAATTCCCTCCGAGAGTTACCAAAGTGTCAAAGCAAAATCGACTGACCTGCTCATGGTGGCGATTGTTTGAAATTTTATCAGGACGCTTTTGTGCATGGTACAATGAACATATTCATTGTACCATGGATATTGATCATTGGTTGATCATGTATATATAACCTCACTTTTGTAGATTATGTTAATAGAGAGTTATCAAGTGAAAGAGTGAGAATACGGTAACGTTATTTTGACAGCGGAGCATGCGTAGTATGAAATGTGAATAACGTAAATGATTTTAACGTTTACGGGCTCCGTTACCGTACGTCGAATAACGGGTTTGATATACGGTAACGTTAGCAGCGAATCGCATCAATTCGTCAAGACTCGGAACTCGGAGATTAAAGTCTCTGTTCTGTAATTTTATTTCTGTTCATTGTTCATTACTTAACATGTGTTTTCCGTTTTCTTGGTTGGGCATCTGCGAGAGAAATAAAACATTTTATTATATTTCATTATATTTATCAATTATAAATACGGAAATAGTAAAAAAGACAAGAAAGGCTGCGTTTTACAAGCACTGATAACCTTTTACTAGTAAAAGAAGTGCGAGGAGTCAACCCTCTGGAATGCCCTGTGTTTTAAACCGAAAATATGAAAAATGTTTGGCTTGCTCAGGCTCTAAGCTATCAAAATGGAACACAGAATGTACATTTTGTATGTTATTATTTAAAATATGATTTTATGTTGATGTTTACAAGATGATTTAGTATTAAATCTTCTATAACTTTGTCATTTGCTTCAACTAATATTGCTTGTTCTAAAATGTCCTCCATATTTCTGTAGAAAAAAATTTGAAACGCAAAATGTACAAAATAAAACAAAATATTACCTTGGATGAAAGAAAACATTAAAAAAAATTAATTATTTTGCTGTCAAATACATTTGTCTGACAGCTGCCAACTATTAACGTGAAGCACCAATTCCACCATTTGATAACTCTAAAATTACACATCCGTTAAAACTTTATACCGTAAAAATAGCGTTTACGTGTCAAAATAACGGAAGGATAAAATTTTACTTGATAACTTTCTAATAAATCTTTATTAACGAAAAAAATATTTCGATACCCACGGAGCGAATACTAATCGGTTAAACAACTAGTCGACTAGTCGATTACCCCATCACTAGTATTTTGTGATAAAAATCTTGCTGGTGTCTGCGAAACTCCAACGTGGACTCACATTTTGAAAAATGTAATTCTCATTTTAGAGTGTTAGATTTTGATTTAAAAGTTAAAGAAATTAATAGAAATAATTTCTAAAAAAAAGTGATCTGCCAATTAAGACATTAAAATTTTCAATATGGTGGCACTTAAGCTGTTAAAAAGCACATTTTCGGATTACTAATACTTATATATCAAATTATTTGATAAACTTTATTTTTTTGTTTCAGAGCTTCGATGTCTGCACTACTTGCAAAGTTTGCGGCGGCTATAGACTATTACCTTGTCACATATGCAAAGGTAGCAAAAAATCCGTCCACCGAAATCATTTTACGGCGGAATTCGTAGCTCTTAAATGTATGAATTGTGACGAAGTGGGATTAGTCAAGTGTAGATCATGTTCATAATGAAAAAAATTTCTAGTGTTTTTAATATTCGCAGCTCAATTTATTTTTGTACAGTACTTTAGTGGTAGAAATAAACTAATTGCATTTTTTGGTCTGATTTATTACCAGTAAGATTTTTTCCACCCCTTTCTTAACAACATTTCTATTGAATATAGTGAAGAGTATTTTTACTATAGCAATGATTTGATTAGTGAGTTGTTCTTTGTCTAGCAAACAAGTGGTTTTGTTGCAGCGATAAGCATATGTAAAAGAAAACAATTATTGTTTAAATACCTGCTAGCAGAAGAAATAGAGGACGAAGAAATTTTAAGTGTTTCAAGATTAAAAAAAAAACATACAATATTTAAAAGAAGACAAGAAGAAGGATACTCCAAAATTTTGATAAATAACCATTTATTAGAACAGGGATTCCAAACTGGGGGCGTGAGGAAATGTCAGGGGGCGCAAGACAATTTGAAAATTAAATTCAATTTAGGTAGTCTTTCTAAACTTCTAAATGAACCATGATGTTTAGAAAATTAAAACAAACCACTGTAATATCTGACTTTACACATAAATTTGAAATCGAATGCTGGAAAGAATGGAGTGTGAGCCGAGCATTTCCAAGCACTCCCACCCTCCTTCACTCCCCAATCAGACGCAGGCCAGGCTAACCGCAGCCACTGCATAAATGCATATGTTACTTACACCCATCGAGCAAAAACATAAAAGAGGGAATCTAATCGTTATGAAAAGGAGACCAAAAAAGTGGCCTCTGATGGCGGGCATATCCGGAAATGCAAAGGCGCTAAATTTAAATTTTTCAACACCTGTTAACAATAGCTGTAAAATATTTTTCAGACAAGAAACTTTTAATTAAATATTAACGATAATAGTCTAAAAAGTGACACAATTGGTAAAAAACTTCAATATAAATAAAATTTCATGTGACAGTTGGGACAAACAATAACATAACCAAACTAAATTTGACTTATTAAACAAGGAAAGAGACTGTCTATCCTTGTTTAAAGTGGCCTCTCAAGATAGCACTTCCTGTCTAACAATATTTTTGTCCCCACTACCTTTATATTCCCTCTTTTATCTTTTTGCTCGATGCTTACACCACAGAATACACCTGGTGTATTCTATGCTTATACTTATTTTGTTACTTATTGTGTGCGGCAGCTAATCAATTGTGACTCAGTGTTTGAGATACATCGGCCTAGTCTGCGCATATATTTGTATTATATAAGCGTACGTTTTGTAAAATTATAATTGTCGCAGTTATTGTAGTCAAGATGGGCTCAGCAAAAAAATGCAAGTATAATGAAGATTATGTCAAATATGGTTTTATTTGAATGCGTAAAGACATTTGTCATTAAAATATAACTCTTTTGAGGACAAACCAAAGTAATTTTCTGCTACAAAATCTGAAAATTTAAAACGCATGAAATTGGATAGTACTGGTTACACGGCTCAATCATCTGAAAAACTGTTTGAAGCTTCATATAAGCCATCACTTCTGATTGCTAAAGAAAAGAATTTATAATTAAAGGTAGGATCAGTTCTCATTATGCTGCGTAACTTGACTGTGCAACAGAACGAGACTGACTGTGATGTCAGTCTGATTGGACGAGCAGAAAAGCTGATGAATAATGTCATTAAGGCAACAATCATCAAGGAAAAATACAAAAGAGAAGAAGAATAGAAGGATGATTGCAAAGATCTTACCATTTGATTTTAAGTGTAAAATGTAAAATTTCTCGTGTATTTGGGTTTTGCAATGATGATAAATAAATCACAAGGCCTATCGTGAAAAATTTGCGGTATCTACTTATTTCGGCATGGACAATCAACTTTTTTTACATAATATTTTTGAGTATTTTGGCAGATCAACTTGTATTCTCGTACGAAAGAATTGTAAATTGATCTAGAAAATCAAAAACTGAGATTAAAAGAAGTAAACAAAATATAACACGGAAAAATATGAAAAGACCATCTTTCTTCTAAATGTCATCTCGACTGTAGTCTAAAATCAATATGGTTTTCTTTTGATCCTCAGTTTAACGATTTAGGGGATTTCCTGTTCTATATGTCCACTCTTTTAGGTTACGCAGCCATGATTTTTTAATCACTATATACATATAGCCATAATAAAACATTGTGTCTTAATAATATTCCTAAATTTCTTATAAATCAGAAATGTTTAGACCGATTTACCTTAAATTAAAAAAAAAACTGAAAAAATTCCAATAAAAATAGAGAAGAAAAAACTTTTTTACAAATCAAGCGAGGAATATAATGCAAACAATCAAAAATAAAGCACAAAAATTTTTGTGCTCCAGTATCCATTTTTTAATCGCCCTTTCTGTTTGTCCCATATAATTTACATACTTTCAAATGCTAATAATATTTTTAGTTCTATAATATTTTTAATTGTTTAACTTTTTGTAAACACTTATTTACCAACAACTTGCTGCGACAAAATCTCAAGTCACATTTTTACTTATCAAATTGGTATCCGGTTACAATTATCATTGAAGGAAATTAAAAATGGAAATTGTATGGTGTGTTTTTAGAACGATTCGTAAAATTTATTGAAAAAACTTTAACCTGCTTTGATGAAATATGTTTCAGGTAAGAAATTTGATTTGTATTTTGTAGAAATATAACAGTTTTGGAGGTCCAGTTTTACTGTCTAATATTTATAAAACTACTGTACACCCCGATGTGAGGTTAAGTCGTAAAATCTTTTTAGGTCCTATTTCTGAGAAGGAGCAATCCCTTTTGCTTATATTTATATAACATCTTAACAATCTTTCTCCATTTTTTCTGTTTTCTCGATTTTCCTTGCCATTCTCTTACTCCTGCGTTTTGTAAGTCATCTTCAACTTCTTGCAGCTTCATTAATCTTGGTCTTTCTCTTGGATTCCATTCCATCATCGCATATATTACTGCTTCATCTCCTGCTCGCCAGATGTGAACTAGTCATCTAGTTCTACATTACTTTATTTTGATCATGATATCATCTTTTAGTACTTTATTAATCTCTGCATTGGTTCTGCTTCTATATTTTTTTGATCTATATGATTTGATGCAGTATGGTTTTCATGATCTTTCTTATCACTATTTGTTAGTCTTATTCATCTTTTTAATCGTTGTTATTGTTGTTTTTTTTTGCTGTTATTTCTTTACATTCATGGTTGTAACATTCGTTTTTTGTTTTCCCATGGTGCTCGCCTTAATGCTTATTTGCTGTTTCTTCTATTGATTCTCTTTTATTCTGATATTATATCTGCAATTATGCAATTTATTGACATTCTATTTTTTTCTGTTGTTTTTTCAGTTTAGTTTTTATATTAACTTTTTGTCTTATAGTGGCTATGACCATATAATGATCTGAACCTCTAGTGTTCTCACATCCTTTATTTGGATGTACTTTTCTGATCTGGTGATCTCAATGTTACTTTTTGTATTTTAGAGTGTTCAAATTTTGTTGAGCTTGCTGCCTAATAACTTTCTCTTCGATCCTGATCCTCCAGAGGGAATGTAGTTTTCATCTTGATGTTGTGTATTGTCTGTCTCCAAAGATCTCTATCCCTGGTCATTTCTTTTAATTCATGTATAGATATTTAGCGTATTCCTCTAATTTGGTCGATCCATCTTGTTGAGATATTCCTCGTGATCTTCGCCCCTCTACGTTTTCTTGGATAATAAGTCTTTCCATGTTTTCTGTGTAGCCCTGTTCTCCCATAACATGTTCAAAATGTTTTAATTGTTGAAGATGAACTTTGTTGAATTTGTAACATTCTTCTTCAACAGAACATTTCAGTCGCGTCTATCTTTCTTTACTCCGCTTATCGTATGGTCCAAGATTCACATCCGTCTCAGTATTGGGAATATTAAGGAGTTGATCAATCTAATTTTTAGGGTTCGTGAAATTTAAAAGTTCTTCCTTATCGGTTTTGTTATTTCTGTGCTCTTTTTCATTTGATGTAAAACTATTTCATTTCTTATTCAATCAACCCAACTTATCCGCAGTACTTGTCGATAAATCAACATCTCAAAGGCTTCCAATTCTTTCATTAATGTCTCTGTAAGGGTCCAGCTCTCCATATCATACAGCAATATGGAGAATATATAGCAGCGTATTAATCTGATTTTAAGGTTTAACATAATATTTCTATTGATTAGAATTTTCTTTAATGTATAGAAGATGGCTCTGGATTTTCCAATGCGTATTCTTATTTCTTTATATCCCAGTTATCGTTAACGTTTGCGACCAAGTAGGTAATATTGTGGACTCTTTCTAACTCTATTCCATACGCTCTGATGTTCGTTGGTTGTAACTCCGTTTTGCTGACAACCATAAGTTTTGTCTTAGAAGTATTCAGTTTTAGTCCATATTCATCACATGCTTCGATTATCCTTTTTATTAGTCGCTGCAGGTCTTGTTTATTGCAGCAAAAAATACCGTGTCGTCTGCATATATGAGATTGTTGACATTAATTTCGTTGATTTTAATGCCTGTATTTTTAACTAAGACTTCTTTGAAAATAAATTTGAAGTATATATTAAATAGTAGAGGTGATAGAATACATCCTTGCCCCACTCCACTGCTTCGATCGTGTTGTGTCTAATTCGTATGTTTGCACATTGATTCTAATACAAATTTTTGATAATACGAAGGTCTCTTATGACCTATGACACCTAAGACTACTTATTTTGAAAGACCTTAATTTTTAGTTTTGTTTATGTCATATTTCTCAATGCCTTATTTTAAGCATTTTATATTGTTACTTTCAGTTTTTTAAACAAAATAAATCGAATAGTACTGAAGAAGACACATTGGAAGATGATTTTATCTTTATCGATCTATCAAAACCAAGAACAAAACCATTGGGTGAAATAAATGTAAGTATGTATATTTTTAAACGATTTAGGATATTTTTTAACATCTATAAGCTGAAAATATAACTTGCTAACTAAAGTAAAGCATGTACAAGATGAAAATACACAGTGGGGAACCTGTATCGGGCATAGGCAGCATTCCGCCTTAACCAAGTTAGATTTGTTTTTATTACAATAAGCATATCATCACAATTTTCGT